TGTGTGTGTGTGTGTGTGTGTGTGTGTGTGTGTGTGTGTGTGTGTGAGTGGAGGGGGTTTATGCTTTAATCACCACCAATCACAAATAAGCTCCTTCTCTCCTCACCATCTGAGCTTCCTCCTGGCACTTGATGCGCACTTCGTTCAGCATGTCCTCCAGTTTATTTTTCTGCTGGTCCATCTCCTCTAAGCGATCCTGAGCATCTTGTTTTTGAGCCTCCATCTCCTGCAGGCTGATTGTCTCTCTGTCCAGGTCGTTCTGCATCTCCTGATTCATCAAAATACACAAATACTCAGATGACATCAAGTACAGTTCACTACACACACTCTACAGAGACAATAAGTCACATTTTCATCATCAATTCGGATGATAATGCAAATATATTTGTGTCGCAAGTTTTCCTTTGTGCCACATTAAAACCAGATACAGTATTTACGTGCCTGTGATGAAATGATCAGGGCAAACAGAAACATATTCCACTGTAGATATACTGCATATTGTGATAAAGTCCAAAATATTGCAATAATAGCTTTTGGTCATTTTGGCCAGCACTGATTTTTAATCTTTTTTAAATCAAACAAAATGAGCACAGACTGAAGTTGTCCTCACCTGCACCTCTGTAGACTTCTGTCTGATGGCCTCCTCTGCCTCCCTGATATCCTGCTCCAGAGTGTACTTCTCCCTAACGAACAGAAACATTCAGAGCGCACGCATCAAACACACAGATCAAATGAAGCAGGACTTTGTAACATGCAGAATTCCAAGGAGACACTTCTGCACCTAGAAAACATGTTCAGAGCAACAACATGTACCTGAAGCTTGAAATAAGGAGCACTGTGAATGCATGATGTCAGAAAAACTTGCAATATCCAAAACTATTGTTTATTATTGTAATGCCAATATCAGTTGTGATAAACTCACATTCTTCACTTTCATTTATAACGGTCTATGAATACTTACAGTCGAAGCTTGTAATACCAATATTCTGCTCAGTCATACTGCAGAGGCCAGAAATGGGCAATATACACTCACCGGCCACTTTATTAGGTACACCTGTCCAACTGCTCGTTAACACTTAATTTCTAATCAGCCAATCACATGGCGGCAACTCAGTGC